CCCCCCTGCCCCCCAAAAATTAAACCTTCCTCACCACCCTCCCCTCACTAATCCACAACTTGGCCAAACAATAAAACACCACCCCGGAGCCCATCACCACCGCACAGAATACATTCAGCTTGAGATACGACCCGTGCAAGGGGTCCGGGAGCAGGGCGCCCGCGATCGGGGTGCCGGTCAGGGCGGCGAAGCTGACGAGGAAGAAGTACGTGCCGCTGCGGACGCCGATCTCGCGGATCTCGGAGATCTGGGCGACGAGCGCGGGGGCTAGGGAGACGGCGGTGCCCGAGCTGAAGCCGTAGAAGGCGCTGAAGCAGATGGAGGGGACGTTGCCGTGCGTGGGGAGCCAGAGGCCCAGCACGAGGACGACGGACAGGAACGTCATGAGGATCATCAGGTTGAAGCGGCCGAACAGGTCCGCTAGGTAGGGCGGGATGATGCGGCCTGGGGTGCTGTTTTTGTGTTCCACGAGGGTTAGTTGGGTTGGGGTTTGGGGTTTGGGATGGAAGAGGGGGCGTTTTTGGGGGGCTGGCGCAACGAACCTAGCGGCATTCATGATGGGAATCAGGTACGATGCCAGCGAGGCCGACATGCCGTTCTTCTGCGCCTGGCTGGGGATGAAGCTGAAGGGGAGGAACATGCCCCAGAAGAAGCAGAAGGTGCCGGCGGTGGTGAGCAGGAAGGGGACCTCGCGGAGGGGCCGCACGAAGTCGAGGAAGTGGAACGGCTTGCGGCGGTGCTGGAGCCGCGACGTCAGGGTGCAGTTGGCGATGACCAGGCAGAACAGGATCAGGAAGGCGCAGATGCGCACCGCCCAGCCGAAGTCGAGCTGGTCGAAGAGCCGGGTGAGCATGATCGGGAGGATGACGCCCCCTAGGCTGGCACCGCTGGTGGCGATGCCGAGCGCGAGCGCGCGCCGCCGCCCGAACCAGGTGCTGATGGAGTTGATGCTGCAGTGGAAGAGCGCGCTGGTGCCGATCGGGCTGCACAGGCCCTGGGCGAGCAGGAACTGGTAGTACTCCGTGGAGATGGAGATCATCATGAGTCCGAAGACGTGGAAGAAGGTGCCGGCGAGCACGATGTATCGGGGTCCGAAGTTGTCGAAGAGGATCCCGACGAAGGGGCCCTGTCCCCTGGTCAGTTGCAAGGGTGCCTAGGGAGAGCTAAAAATATTTGGCATCTACGTACCCCAAAAAACATCATGAAGGTCATCAGAGACGTGACCCAGGTCACAGTGCTGGTGGACTCGTCCTGCAACTGGTGTGTCTTGTAATAATCGATGAAAATGCCCATGCCTAATTTCGCTCATCAATAACAGACTTCACCCAGAGTGTGCTGCGAGCAGAAACTCACAGTTGACCCAGCCGAAGCTGACGAACATAGCGCAGAAGCCACCCAGAACAGTGAGCCAGGCCTCCATCCCACCATCTGGAGCTCCCTTGGGCCCTTGTGCCATCTGCGTCGTGGCCGCGGCAGCGCCTATTTTCTCCACTGAATCGCTCGTGTTGCTGCTCTCTTCTTGCCCTGCCTCGAGAGGATGTTGTTGTCGCCCGCTGACAAGCTCGTCCTTGTCAGCTTCAACGTCGACCTGCGTTGTTGAAGTCGAACCATGGCTGTGATATAGTTCATTGATGTCTTCAGCGGGAAGCTCACTGGGAAGGTCAAACTCGTGCCGTTGCATGTTGTTCGTCATCTTTCTCAAGACTCGTGGTCTCGGGGGTCACGATTCTCGTCCGTCCGACAGGTCACTCCAAGGTAGGAATATTCTTGTCAAGAACTGCCTTCTCAGCAAGAACGGTGATACAGGATGAGCCTCGATGAGAACGAGGCACCGGCACGGGCCGGAGATAAATTTTGAAATCGAACGGAGCCATTCGGGGGGATTTCGTCGCCATGGGGTGAGTTATTATCCCTTACGGGTCGGTCAACTCATGAACGAGTCGTTCAAAACAATCCGTACCAAGGGGGGGCTTGGCACAACAGAGAAGTCAGATATGATGAGCAAACCTTGATATGTCCGATCTATTGGAGCCCCTTGCAGGACCCTTGGTCCGGAATGATGTTCACCTCTTCCATACTTTTGCGCAACTGCTGCCCGTGTTTACTGTAATTCTTGAGCAAGTTCGAGAGATGAAGTGGCAGAAGTCAGGAAAAGGCAGCAGATGATCCAAGCGCGATCAGCAAGATATGGGATTCATGAAGAGAGTTTGGCGTACGATCGGACGCATGCTGTCTATAGTACATTGAGCCTGCAATGAAAATGAACCCTCCAATAATTGAACTCGGACTTATGCAACGGAACAGGATAATTGAAACAGATTGCTTAAACACTCAACTGGCTTATTCCAGCTTCTCAAAAACCACCTTGCCATCCTTGGTGAGTCTGGCGACGCTCTGCGACGTGCCCTTGGCTTCTTGGAACAAGTCGTCCGCCGTCCGGGAGGGAACAGGGGCAGCATTCACCGCCTCCTCGGCTGCTTTCCGCGATGCTTCCTCCGCCGGTGTTGGAGGCTTCGCTGGGCCAATGGTCAATCCACGCGGAGCACTGGCAAGCTCGTTCACCTCGTGCTTCGTCAGGACCTCGTTGATGCGAGGCCCGCGGGTTTGAAGGAGAATAGTTGTAGGGCCGTCGAATTGAAGGAACAGCTAAGCAGCATCAGCACTGGGCGCAATACAACTTGAGGGTGAGATCGATTGAGCATACCCTGTCACCCCAGATGGTCATTCGAGACCAGGTGCGAAGCCTGTGAACCAGCTTCATTGTAGACTTCCAAGTATCCGCTTCGGACATAGCTTGGAGGAACTTGGAACTCTGAATGTAGCTTTGAATGAAGGCAGGCAGGTTCTTAAGGCCCGGAACCTGAAGCTTCAATGTCGTAGACTTGAACCGGTAGGGACGAGGAGGGTTGGACGAGATAGTGTAAGCAACAACATTGCTTTTCAAGGCCAGTTAGCTGAGCTTCTGCACAGTGGGTAGAATTGACAAGCATACCTGGGATGGACTATGTATTGCTCGCCGGCCTTGAGCTCGACCGAATACAGCTGGCCGTTGCCAACCAGAGCCAACAATCCTCTGCCAGTGACCTCAGAGCTACCCCAGTGGGCCAGGCTCTTCGCGAATTAGCTATAATCATAAGACCATGTGACGTTCCGGATGAGACGAACCAGGTTCGTGTTGATGGTGGGTCGAATGGAGAGCGAACGACCTGTCCAGGCAAGTAGCGCTCGCCTTTGAGCGACCATCCAGTCGACCGAGCCATTGAGGTGTACGACCGCAAAAGAGGTGTTTGGCGAGCGGACGGAGACCAGGGCCGTCACCGGGCTGGCGGAGGATATCTGCGCGGAAGTTTAGCCCCAAACCCCTCGACTTATGGAGACAGATCAGACCTTTTGATAGAGGAACGGCACGCCGACAACAGCTCTTCGGAAGGGTTCAAGGACACTCAAGGTGGAAATCACCTGGTGGTATCAGATGTTAGAGGTAGCTCGTACGTGAGCAGATTGCGAAAGTTCCGGTATTTGCATACATTGTCTGCTTTCCCACTCAGCCCAACCAACGTCCCTCGGCGAGTGTACAGATTCTGCGAAGCGGAAAGCGAAACCGACAGGAGCGAGTAGGGTGCGCCAATGACATCGAACCGAGCATCTATATCGATAGGAGTATATTAGCAAGGAGTTTCGGTGTGAACCGAGGGCTCCAATTGCCTGCACCGCATTGAATTGGATTTGCGACAAGACCTACCAGCGGATTCAGCTGATGTGGGAGTGCTGGACACAGGGAGATTGTCTCCATTGACCGCAGGCTGTTCCGCGGGCGCAGCGCGAATCTGGACGCCTCTGGTCTGGCATGCGCGGTGCAGCAAAGCTCCTTGTCGCGCCCGAGGGGGAAGAACACGAGTCCAGGACAGAGCCCGGACAGCTCCCCTCAAAGGTTGGCCTGTTGCCATGGTTGAAAGGGGAGTGTGTGAATCTGCGAAGAGAGGAGGAAATAACTGGGAGCTGAACGAGGATGCTTCGGCTCGTCCTCCGCGGTAATCGCAGTAATTCTTCGCAGTTCCTGATCGGGGAAAGCGTTGCTCTGCGGCTTGGCACTCAATGACCGGCCTTCGACCACTTCTGCCCTGGTGCTTGCTGGTCTGCAGTTGAACGGCGGAAATGAGATCAAAGTCACTTGTAAGGTAGAGATAAATCTGTTTACCTCAAGGATAAGCCTTCATCCCAACCCGGAGAAGTGTTGCATTGAGCTCTGGTGGTTTTTGTGCGCCAGACGGCTTCCCGCTGATGTCATACCTATCTCACGCGTATAACTTCTGCGGTATAGTTAGCTCTAGTACGAGTTGGAGGAGTGGTTTTTATTCCTCCCCTGCCATTAGGAGACAAGGCTACTCGGTACTGTCTGATATGCATACATAGCATGATCACTGCCTGCAAGTGAGTGACCAAAGATAACAAGCCCTGGCATCTTTGAAAAGAGGGATTCACGTGACTGGACCGAGATGGCTCGGGGAGCGCTCGCGGAATAATCCGGACACGCACACCATTACTCCGGGGTACGCACCAAACCACGTGATTTGACGTTTCTATCGGGGCCACTTAATCTGCACAGATAAGGTTGTGGAGACGCCCAAGGAGGACTGTCCATGTCTCCAGATGGCATGAAGGCGAATCGGCCCCGCAACTCGCTCATCTCATCGCCGGCGCCCGTACAATGGAAATCAGCTAATTAGACATTAGGCCGTGACCTGTACTAGGTTGAGGACTATGTTCTCCGTCCGATCCCTCTTGAGCGTTCTCCCTTTTGCCTAACTTCATAATGAAGCGAGCCGGGCGAATCGCTTGGACTAATGCTTGCCTTCCCGGTGCTCGCAGGTGTTTTGCTACGTCTCTACCCTCCACTTCTTGCTGTCGTCGTACTTCCCTACAGTCAGCTCTGAGAACTACAGCGGTGCCGCGTCGAACAGTAATGTCGTCGGCGCAGTGGACATGCACCCCGAGAGTGTTTCCCACCTCGGGAGTCAAGTTGCTGGACCAGTCCGCCGAGCTTGACGAGGAGACACTGCCGAATTACCAACCCGAGAAATACTACCCAGTCACCCAGGGTGAAGTACTCAATGATCGGTATCAAACCCTTGCCAAACTAGGATACGGAGTCACTTCCACAGTTTGGCTGGCGAAAGACTTAGTGTATGTGCAGTTGATTTATATGACCCTGATGATAACGGAGATCCTAATAGTATGCTTCAAACCAGTGCATCGACATATGTGGTTCTAAAGGTTTACGTCACGGGCCAGAACCGGGACCTTGAGCGAGAACTAGACATTTACAAGCACATTAATTCGGTGGAAGCACAACACCCCGGGAAAAACTTCATTCGTAAACTTCTCAACTATTTTTATCTCCAGGGCCCTCATGGCTGTCACGCCTGTCTTGTTCACGAGCCTCTCGGAATGACTGCAGATTTTCTAGTAAGGATGGCTCCTCGCAACGAAAAAAACCCTTGATTTCATGAAGCCTGCTATCCGACAGCTACTCGTCGCCCTGGATTTCCTGCATTCAGAGTGCCATATCATCCATACAGGTTATATGCTTACCACCCCCCTTGAGGATCTTGAGTTACAGGCCTAATGTTGGCACAGATCTCCAGCTGAAGAACTTACTACTTCCCGGCCCGGAGACAAGCCATCTTTCCCAATTCGAAGAGCGTGAAGTTGCAAACCCAACACCCCGAAAGAAGCTTAAAGATCGAACAATCTACAGGCCTTTAGGTTTTCTTTCTCCAGGCGGAAGGCCAATTCTCGCTGATTTTGGAGAAGCTCGATTTGGCGATGAAAAGCAGAATGGCGATATTATGCCGAATGTTTATAGAGCTCCGGAAGTGATTTTAAGGTCGAGCTGGGACTATAAGGTAGATATATGGAATATTGCTATGGTTGTGAGTAGAACTATTCTTACATTTACTTATCTTTAAAAATGCTAATACTGGGGTATACTTAGGCCTGGGATATTGTCAGCTCTCGCACCCTGATCAATGGCAAAAATCCAGATGGCATATTTGATGATCGGGTCCATATAGCAGAACTGATTGCTCTGCTAGGCCCTCCGCCCCCCGAATTCCGGGAACAGAGACACCTCAGCTCAGCCTTCTGGGATAAGTCGGGGAAGTGGAAGGAGGTTGCCTCTATTCCAGATATTACCCTCGAGAGCCTGGCCTCGGAGGTGGACAGGGAAGATAAAGAGGGGTTTTTCCGGTGGCTCCGGATGGCCTTGCAGTGGAACCCCGACGACCGGCCCACGGCTTTGGAACTCTTGTTCGACGAGTGGATGATGAAGGGGCTTTGAAGTGAAGGGAGGGAGAAGCAAATAGCGCGGCTGAACAAGATCAATGACCGTTATACGGGCTTGAACCATTCTGCCGCTGGAGAGCAACCGATACCCTATCAGGTGTTCCATGGTCGACAAGATATTGGCAATGAGAACACACTAAGAATCTCCTCTCGACCGGCTCTCAGGTGATCTCGACCAGTAGGCAAATCGCAGCTAGTAGAATCGTTAGTCGCGGCCGGTGAACAACTGGCTGGGAGAATTGGTTGAGATAATCTACGGGAAGCTAAGGTCGTGAAATTAACAACCATGAAAGATCGCAAGCCGAAAGGACCACATCCCTCAAGCCAGGCCGGCCGCTGGGCGACCCAGCTCAGCGTCAGTGTAGCATGTTCCTAAGTGCCAGGGAGAGAAACTCCGCCAAGCCGAGTATTCGGCTCTCTTGACATCCTGCTCAACTTAATCAGGTAAGCCCGTGTGGGACTACAGAGCCACTGAGAACGACGACTCTAAGTTATGATAGGGTTTATCTGCTTAGCATTCGAAGGGCCGTGCCTCTGGGGAATCGAATCGATCCGTATCGGAACGATCAGTGGATCCAATCCACCCTGATAGATATCGACCATAGGCCCATGTGTTGGATGGCCAAAGACAAACAAGGCTGAGAGAGAATAATGCACCTGGCATTGTCGGGTATCGTCCTGACATGGCTGTTTCCAAAGCTTACTTTATCTCCCGTCCCAGGGGCAGAAGACCGGAAGTTGTCAAGCGTACAAGTCATGCGATGGATACGGGAAAGTCAGACCTTCCACTGTGCTTCGACGGGGCTATATGCGAAGATCAGCCCGAGAGCAAGGCATTAGAAAAAGATCTGCTTCGAAAGCGCTGATGGGTTGCTGGGGCGCTTGCTGGGGCAGTTGAATGCTTATTACGCACTATACCTTGGCTATTCCGGCATCGGATTGTGAGAGCCATCAGCACACGCACCGTCCGCGCTCATGCCACGATCCCGGCTGCTGTCCCAGAGCGAAAGGCGGCGCTGACCTAAACCTATTCTGGAAATGGAAAGTCGACGCGGCGGGCAGTGTTCAATAGTAACCTTGAATTCCATTAACGGAGATTGTCCAACAAGACCAAATCGGCGATGATTGCGCCAGATCTACCTTTATTCGTGTCATTCAGTCTATCGGCTCGCATATAAAACTCCTTGATGATTGTCGTCAAACATCCATTGCCCCCTTGACCCTTCATAGCACTCACTTCAAGGATCAAGATTCCCGATCTCCCCGCGCATCCCCCCCGCCGACGATTTCCTCCGAACCCGGCGGGTCCTCATTCACAAGCCGGCGGCGTCTCGCGCGGAGAACCCTTGTGCCTTTTTCTCTGTCCGACACTACAATGCGCCATTGAGAGCGGAGGAAGTCTTGAACATTTCCTGGTCATTGTGAAGATTGTTGACCGGCCACCATGCTGCCCAGGGCCGCCCGATCGCCGTGCTGGCGTGTCCCGGGGCGCTTCGTATACCAGCGCCGATTTGTCACGCGCCCAACCTCATGGACCTCTGCCTTGTACGGAGTGCAACTCAGAGCCATCTCGACATCCAGCGAATCCAACAGGAAACAAGTGTCTGCGAGCACACCTCCCGCCTCGGAGAACCCTACCAGCCCAACTGCGGTACAACCGGGAGCAGCGAATGCGACTCGGGCTTCCACGACAGCCCCCGAGAACCAGAATGCCACCACTACTCCCAAGAAGAAGGACTTGCTTAGCGAGGCCACGCTAGCGACCAAGGAACAAAGGAAAGCGGACTGGGCGATCATGAGGGAGATGGCAAAGTATCTTTGGCCAAAGGTGGGAGGACTCGAATGCAAATGCGGCGGAGCTATCCGGAGCTGTGCTAATTAGATACGGTGCAGGACGATTGGGGAACAAAGCTTCGGGTTGGGAGCGCCCTATCTCTACTTATCGGGGCCAAGGTAAGTTGCAGGGGGGATGTTGGTCATGCAGACTGGTGTGCTGACCGGGCGCCCCCAGATCTTGAACGTTGAGGTACCCTTCTACTTCAAAAGCATTGTCGACTCGATGAATGTGGATTTCGCGACTGTAGGCGGTACAGCCTATACAGTTGCGGGCTCGATGATTATCGCCTGTAAGTCAGGATCTCGCCGCTCAATTGTCCAGGCCTAATTGAATTGCCAGACGGTGTCACGAGAATCGGTGCCACTGTGTTCCAGGAACTCAGGAATGCGGTCTTCGCCAGTGTTGCCCAAAAAGCGATCCGCAAGGTCGCGCGAAACGTCTTTGAACACCTCCTACGCCTTGATTTGAACTTTCACCTCACGCGCCAAACCGGAGGATTGACGCGGGCAATTGACCGTGGTACCAAGGGTATCAGCTTCTTGCTGACTTCCATGGTGTTCCACGTCGTCCCTACCGCGCTGGAAATCTCCCTCGTGTGCGGGATTCTGGTATAGCATGGCCCGGTTTGTCTAATTGAATGTGTCAAGGTACTTACTAACCATGACGACAGACTTATCAGTATGGCTTCAAATTCGCGGCGATCACGGCTACTACCATGCTCGCATATTCGGCCTTTACCATTACCACCACCGCCTGGAGAACCAAATTTCGTAAGCAGGCCAACGCCGCCGATAATCGTGGTGCCACCGTTGCTGTGGACTCCCTGATCAACTACGAGGCCGTCAAGTACTTCAACAACGAGAGATTCGAGGTTGCTCGCTACGACAAGGCGCTTAAGAATTACGAGGATGCTTCGATCAAAGTCACCACCTCCCTTGCATTCCTCAACTCTGGGCAGAACATGATATTCTCCAGCGCCCTGGCGGCAATGATGTATCTCGCGGCCGACGGCGTGGCCACTGGCACTCTGACCGTTGGTGACCTGGTTATGGTTAACCAGCTTGTCTTCCAGCTCTCCGTCCCTCTGAACTTCCTCGGATCCGTGTACCGCGAGCTTCGCCAGTCACTGTTGGACATGGAAACGTTGTTCAATCTACAAAAAGTCAATGTGAACATCATTGAGCGCCCCAACGCGAAGCCCCTGGTGCTGAACCAAGGGGGTGAGATCCGGTTCGAGAACGTCACCTTCGGCTACCACCCAGAGCGGCCGATCCTCAAGAACGCAAGTTTTACGATCCCTGCCGGTCAGAAATTCGCGGTCGTCGGGCCCAGTGGTTGCGGCAAATCAACCATTCTGCGCCTGCTGTTCCGCTTCTACGATGTCCAGGAGGGCCGGATCCTCATCGATGGGCAAGACATCCGTGACGTGACGCTCGAGAGTCTGCGCAAGGCCATCGGTGTGGTGCCCCAGGATACTCCCTTGTTCAACGACACGATCGAACATAATATCCGGTATGGGCAGATCGACGCGACCGATGAAGACGTCCGCAAGGCTGCCCGACGCGCCCACATCCACGAACTGATTGAGAAGCTACCCGATGGATACCAAACGGCTGTCGGAGAGCGGGGGATGATGATCTCCGGTGGTGAGAAGCAGCGACTGGCCGTCTCGCGATTAATCCTGAAGGATCCCGAGCTTCTCTTCTTTGACGAGGCGGTAAGTACCATGCCTCTTCCAACCAGTAGACTCGCTTGTGCTAGAGGGTTGGGGCGCTAACGGATCACTCGACCAGACCTCTGCATTGGACACCTACACGGAGAAGGCACTGTTGCAAAACATCAACAGTATTCTCAAGGAGAAGCGCCGCACGAGCGTCTTCGTGGCCCACCGATTGCGGACGATCTACGACTGCGACCAGATCCTGGTGCTGAAGGAGGGCCGTGTGGTGGAGATAGGTTCGCACCGCGAACTTCTGGAACAGAATGGCATCTATTCTGAACTGTGGAACAGTAAGTGGAGTTTGCTTTCTTTTTTTTTTCCATGCATCCGCCACCAAGCCATACGAACTCGTTTTGAGCGCTAACGTCCGCCACAGCACAAGAAATGTCTCTCACGGAAGAGCAGGGATCGGAAAGCGTAGAAGAGGAGGAAGTGGAGCAAGACGCTGGCCCGTCCTCCCCCCAGCGACAGAAGTGAGCTCGTGGGCGTACCTTTTTTTTTTTTTTTTTTTTTTTTTGCTTGCTTCCTATGGAGATCGGGCGACAAAAGACTAAGGCTTACTTACGTAAATATACTTTTTAGATTTAGAGAACACGACTCGCAGCTCAAGCGGTCGTTGAAAATCAAAATGAGTTTATGATCAACTTAAATGCTGCCAGCCTTCCCCTCTCTATCTAAGCCAAACCACCGGCGGGGGTCCGATGGAGCTCCAGCATTTCGTAAAGTTTGGGTCAGGGCTTTTAGTGTTGGAGATGAGAGCGTTCGGCACGGTTATTGAAAGTCGACCATGGATGATACCACTTTGCTGGGTACGCCAGTCCCGTTCTGGGGTGAGATACACATGAGGTGAATCTCTCGTCTCGTTCTGGTCGCGTGTCTGGCAGCAGTAGTTGAACTACTACCTTAGGTATGCAGCAATAACTGCCAACCAAACTATTGTCCGGTGTTGAAAAGCATGTCGAAGAATCGCCTGCCGATCCGACCGTTTCCGTCCATGGAACTGCAGGTGTCAACCCGGAAAGAGGCAACGCTAGTTAAGGGCGATTGACCACCGTGCGTTGCAGCAACGTTTATCCTCCGCAAACAAGCATGCAGAAAGGAAAGGAGTTTTCTCGAAGATCGAGAAGATGGGGCGCTGGGATACTAGGTCAACTGCCAAGGGTGACTATGCGAATAGGTTCAAACCTTGCTGGTTGGGTTCCAGCAATTGGGGCATTGTAGCGAGAATGATTTGAGTTGTTGTGTCGTGTTGGTGTGTGGGTGTAATAGGTACCTAGTCTAATAGTGCTGGCTAGTGTTTCTAGTAATCTACTAGTCAGGGGTTGAAGAGGCAACACGGGCCATGAGGAAGACTGTGTGTTGGATTTTGCCATGAGGTTTGCGGCTTTTGCCAACTGACCAAGAACTAAACCCAGTTCAACCCCTGGCTAACCCCACTATGGTTAGACCCAACCCACAACCCACGTTGTTGCAGTTGCAGTTGCAGTTGCAGTTGCAGTTGCTTCCCTTCCCTGTCCGTCCCGTCACTCTGCCGACACTCCCTCACTCCGTCCTGTCCAGACTCTCTCTCTCGCTCTCTCTCTCTTTCAATTCCGCTTCTCTTCCCCTCTCTTCCCCTCTCTTCCTCCCTCCCTTACCTCGTGGACTCGTCATATTCTCTTTCCCTCTCTTCTTCCCTCCCAACCCCACGTTCGTTCTCTGCTTATTTCCTTTCGGTTCCTCTTCCGTTCTTTCTAGTCCTATGTCCTATAGTGTTGCCAATAATTCCCTCGAGTCTCAACCTAAACTAGTCTTATCAATTCCGCTTTAGTTCCGGAGCAGAGTCTCTCCTTGGGTGCCAATCTTCCGAGCCACCGCGTCTCCCTACTAAACTCCCACCAACTCCCACCAACTGAGCCACTAAAGCTATTAACCCTCCAATCGCACTCGCACTCGGCTACTTTGCTTGCTTCGACTTGCATCTAGCTCCCTTTCCCACCATCCACCATTTGACCTTTACCCCCCTTCCCGCCTACCCTACCGCACCACTGCATAAACCAGCCTTCCCTCCTTCTCGTGCAGCTCAAGGCTCACTCAGATATATCGCTCGCTCAACTGCAACTTGGTCCCTTCATAAGAATTCATACAATCCTTCCCCCCTCCGCCCCCAAACGTTAACGGCCCGATTCCGAACTAGCCGAACCACTCTCCAACACAACTACACACAAAAACACCCAAAATGGGCTTCATTGAGAAGTTGCAAGCAAGTACGTTTCTCATCAACTCTTGATGGTCGCGCGGCAGTGCAAGCCCCTGATCACCTCCGGACCCGATCGCTACCCCCGCAAAAGCAGCCTCATGCTAACAGAATGACTTCACAGAGCTGGAGCTTTACCGTCTAGAGCAGCGTTATGCTCGTCGCAAGCACCGGAGCACCTTCTCGGGCGTGCAGTATGTCGACGGCGAATACCATTACTCCAGTGGATCGAACTCCTCCACCGGCACTGTCTCCAAACAATCCACGGGAGGCTACTGGAAGCCCCCAACATGGGGATCATCCGGGGATTCGCGCTGGCGGTGATTCCGGCATCAAACCCGACCCGATTTAACGCTCTGCCTCAATCCCATATTGTTCGACCATTGATCCTCGACATAACGTCTCGTGTCAAGGATATGACGACTTGTCCTTCTTTGCTTCTTCATTCCATTCGTCGGGTCCAGCACCCAAGCGGGAAAAAAGTCCATGGTTATTCTTGCCTTTGAAGCTTGCCTCGGATGTCTCGCCCATGATGCGACGGGGAGCGAGATTGGTTCGATCCATCTATCCACAAAGAATCGCACCGCGTGCGCTGGCTTATCTCGCTCCCGCGCAGTTGAAGTTTGGTCCACGGGTCATACAGGGACTTCCCATCTGCCGGTTCAATTGGCCTTTAACACTCTGCATCTCCTCGTGGCTATTTTCTGGAAGTCATATGCCACCATCTTGCTGACGCCTTTCATGCATGATCTGTTTCGACCATTGACTATGCTCCGTTGGTTCTAGCCTCCGCTGTCTTGTTTCTGCTTCGGAGTTGTGATCGCTCAAGCGATGTTGCACTTTCTATCTGTCCATATTTTACTCGAGCCCATTAGCGAGTCGTCGGTGACCTCGACGGCGCATCTATCTGTTTCAAACTGTTCTCGCTACCCTTACTGTACATATATTACACGGTCTACCCCGAATATACATTTACCACTAGCATCTGACTTACATGTTTGCCATCAGTCACGTGGAGGAGCCAAAGAAAGGTATAGTAAGTCTCGAAGTCGGCTTGCGATGGTCTAATGATATCATATTCATCTTGGCAAGCTCCCGCGCATCATTGCGAAGCATGGCGGGATACAGGCCAATGACAGCTTCACGTCTAGGCATATATCCTGGATAATCTCGGGATAGGCAGGTTCAAGACACCGCGCTCCACCTCTTCCTTGTTGTTCATCATTCACCGACCTCCCCAACTTTCATCTCCATCTAAAGATCGAAACGGGCCCTCATTGCCCGCTCTCTCGACGGCTTCCCGAAATGCAAAACAAACAAAAACAGAAACAAAAAGAAAAAACAAGGAACCCCCAGTCTTCCCCCGAGGCCCAGAAATACAAGAATAGCCGAACCGAAACCATCACCGTTTCGACTTGCGACCCCCAATCCCCAAGCGACCCAGGTTCGGTAGACTGGTTTTATGTCTGTGCCCGGCCCCGGCCGCGGCTCGACCGGCCGCGCCGCCCCCAGCTGCTGCAGCCGCAGCGCCCGGTCCCGAACCAGCACCACCTGCACCTGCCGAACCACCAGCACCACCAGCACCAGCACCAGCACCACCATTCCCACCGGAATCGGGCCCACCGCCGGCGCGCGCCCCGTCCCCACCGGTTCCGGCTCCCAGGCCCGCCGTGCCTCCCCTCGGCACATCTGGTAACATGGCGGCGATGGTACTCCGGTCGCGGCCCCCGCGGTGGACTAGATCTACGCCTGCGCCGGGGTGTCGTGTGAGTGTAAGTCCTCCTGCTCCGTCACCGGCCGCCGCCCCGAAGGGCCCGCCGGCGTCCTGGTCGGGGGGCCGCTGCGAGGCGCGCTGGGCGCGACGGGCCTTCTCCTGGACGGATTTGAATTTGTCGAGGAGTTCGACCCACCGGATCGAGGAGGTGCTTGAGGATGATAATGATGATGAGGTTCCTGCGGCTGCGGCTGCTGCCGCGGAGGTGGTGGTGTAGGTTGAGCTGGAGGAGTCTTCGCGTTTGAGGCGGCTGCTGCCGGTGGGGCGGTCGTAGGTGGAGGTGGAGTTTGTAGTTAGGGAGGAGGGGAGCGCGGTTCTGGATTTTCCATCCGGTGTTAGAGATGCTGCTGTTGATGCTTTGGGGGGGGACTTACAGTCGGGGACCGGTGTGGAGGAGTCCGATGCTGCTGACGCTGTTGAGACGGTTCTTTAAGGCGGCGAAGGCGGAGCTTTGCGGGAGGAGCATTAGAACTCCGTAAAGGCATTTGTAGAGGTAGGGGTATCGTTCTGGTTCGAGGAGTTGGAGACGTAGGTCTGTTGTTGTTGTTAGGGGTGGTGAGCTTTGAGGGAGCTGGGGGCCAACGACAAACTGACACGTGAAGACGGGGGATTCGAGCAGCTGGACTAGCTTGTCGATTTGGATTAACATGTTGACGGTCATTTCGAGCTCGGCGCTGTTTCAGGATATTTGTTAGTGACTATGAGCACTGGTGTTCGAGGAAAGATGGTCGTACAATACTTGGAGGAGATTGTATGCTTGCTCGTAGGCTTGGGCGAGCAGACAGAGCGAGAATGTCGAGACCGCGTTGTGACACCAGGACCTGAATAGAGCGACGAAGAAAGCCTGGCCGTCCTGACATTGGGTCAGTTTCTTGGAATACGTGCGGCCGATATATCCTACCTTGTTGTCGAGGTTCCTCAGGCGCTTCCGGAGTTCCGAGAGCTCGGGGGCTGTGATGAGGTTGTTGTTGAGATTCTGTACCATGATGCTCGCGAACTCGAGGTCCTGTTGTTCATTTAATGGATGGGGTCAGTGAGGGGGGTTCAGTCGTGATGGTTCTTTAATGTGGTGGTGGTGGTAATTCTCACCTCCTCTTTCTCGAGACAGTCCGCGAGAGTCCTGTAGATGCGCTCGGGGCTGAGGTTCATGCACAGCTGCCGGATGATGAGGTTCCCGCGCACCTCTAGCAGACTCCTATCCGTGGAGAAGAGCTGCAGCAGGTTCACCATGAATGACTTGAAGTAGCTGTCCTCGCTGTTCCTGGAGATCTGCGAGAGGAGCTGCAGATCCTTGGTCACCACCACCTCCGCGGGGTCGGACAGCGTCTTGAGCAAGGCCGGGAACGTGCCATCGTTGAACGCGATCACCTTCTTCGGCGCCTTGCGGTGGAGCATGATCAGCCAGGACAGGGCCGCGACACGGGTGGTCTCGTTCTCGTTCAGGAACTGCAGCGTCAGAGAGTTGACCGCCG